TGAGATCCCTCCATGTCGTGCCGCATGTGCTTCTTCCAAGAGAAGAAGGAATGAGACCAGCAGTAGGCAGCAGAGGTAGAACAAAGGTGTTGAGCAAGATAGCATTTTGCTGCCTAGTGTTTGCATGGTGTGTATTGGTTGGGGATGTGATTCTATGCACAATGCAACCATTGATATTTAACGACTGTAGTCCATTGTTATGAGGGGCCCCTCAGTCAAGTCAACACACAACAATTGGGTGGAAACTGATGCAAGATGACTATTCTTCAGTCTGTCGCCATCTCTGCCCCTTTTTTCTTTCCTTTGGTAGCTGCTGCTGGGCATCTCTTCTTCAGTGTCGCAATATCTTCCTCCTTTTCTTTCCTCACGACTGGAAAAATGACACAATAATTATTCCTAGAAAGCAATTGAAGACAGGGATGGAAGGGTGCCCATGGCGTACGCCTACTCGTATCTTTCCCAGTTATCCTCTGTTTACAACTTATGCACTGAATAGACTCGACTTAACCTTGCAGTAGAGTTTTTTATTTGATGTTATCTCCCGTTTGATTATATTTCTTGTTTATTTCATCATGCATCATTCATCAAGCTATTCTCTATAGTACTTATGTTTCCCTTCTTTGCTTTTCAGCTGCTGCAGAAGAGGCTGGTGGTGCAACACAATGATTAAATGTGGGAAAAATTCCCAAGTCTTGTTGAAATATTTACGGTTTCCGTGTTGAATTGTGGTCAATACAAATCCTGGACCCCAGGTCTTGTTGGAAGTCATGTTTCTGAGGAAAAATGAGGCAGTAGGTGCAGCTTGTGGAATTCAAATCATGTAGAACCAAGCAGCATCATGACCACACCGACCGAAGAAAAGTTCCAAGCCCATGTGGGTTGACTTTTCTACTACTAGCGCTTTCTGTACGTGTTGATTGCCGTGTAACATCCAACACGCCAGTATTCCCAGGTAGTCAAAAGTATGCAAATTATTGTTATTGTCCATGCAAAATAATAATAATAATAATATTACTGCTTCCATACTCTGGTACTCCCTCCGATCCAGGGTAGGAATAGATCCAAACACCTGTTTGCTGTGAATTCATTATAGCCATGATCTGCGTCAATGCTATTTTTGTGTTCCACAGTTTATCTCTGAAGAAATACAACGTGGGCCTATGTTCCTTTTCCTGAAGGGCATAGAAAAATATATATGATATAGTAGCAAGCTTAAACATTTCCCAACATATTTGTTTTTATTGTTGGTTTTTATATCCTAAACCCCTTGCTTAACTTGTCACTTGTACAGTACTAACAGGGATGCTTGTACATGCAGGCAAATGCCGGATCTCTTTTCCTTCCAATTTTCAAAGCTCCCATACGGTGAAGCAATTGTTGACCTTTCATTGTAGTGACCGGATAAATTGCACATGTAGTCCAATGCAACGTCATTGTATAACATTGATCTAGGAATACTGGCGTGTTGGAGCACATGATCTTTGGAGCACATGATCACCCAGCATATGATCTAGGAATTCAAGGTATAACATTGCTCGTTATTAGTAGAAGAAAGAATTCGAAAAAAATGGCAACATGATGAGCCACTGTGTTAAAATAGAGTACACTCATATACCAGGATATTGGGTCATACTTATTTAGTTAGCCATAATTTTTTGTCTCCCGTTGCAACGCACGGGCATATTTGCTAGTAATAATCAAAAGGGTGCCAAATCCTGCATAGAATAGATGCTAAATTTGCTGCACAGAGAAGTAAGTAGGTAGGCACTGTAAGTACGTGTCAGCTGAAACAAGCCTTGTTGGAAGTCATGTACGTGTCCGAGGGAAAATGAGGCAGTCGCTGCAACTTGTGGAATTCAAAGCCATAGTACAAGCAAGCAGCATCCTGACCACACAAACTGAAGAAAAATTCCGCTACTATCGCTTTCTGTACGTCTGCGCATGTACCAACATGCCAATATTCCTGTTAGAAGGGATAGAGAGAGATTGGTGGAATCGTTGATTATATTGCTTGAGCCTCGTGGGCATATATATAGGAGTACATGGTTAACTTGGAGTACAAGACAAGCCGGAACATATCCTAGTCTATCTCTTATTTCCTAACTAAACATAATACTCAACAATTCCCAAGTATGCCCCATTGTAATTTACATGTAGTTGAAAGTGTGCGAATTATTACTGCTTCCATACATTTTGTAGCTCATAGCAGTCCATAGTGCATACAGATGCATCCTGTTGTATTAACAAAAATACAACATGGGGCTACAATCCTTTTTTTCTGAGGGACATAGAAAAGGGATATACGTGGTGTGCGAATAGAAAGCTCGAACAAGGGCTTCCATACATCATGTTGTTTTTATTGTTGATTTTCATATCCAGCCTCATAGTCAAAGGAGAAGCAAGAATTTATAAAGTCGCCCCGCAAGCAAAAGCCAGATTTCTTTTCTTTTCAGAGTTCACATACAGCCAAGCAATTGTTTCTTAACCAAGAATTGCAGGGACAGAATAAACTGCCCTTGTAGTCTGATGCAACGTCATTAATTAGAATATTTCAAGATAAAACGTTGTTTGTTGTCAGTAGAAAAAATCAAGATAGTCACTGTGGGAATTGAAGATCAATGTTACAGATTAGTAAGAAGCTTGGCGTTACTAATGCACATCCAATTTCTATGGTTACTGATGTTAGAACTCGCGAGGCTTGGAATGGAGCAGCGACGAATGTGCCTTGTTGAGGAGGTCGATGACGGTCTGCAAATCCTGGGCATCGAGCCAAGCCTGACCGCGACCGCCTTGCCTTATCATGCAGCAGGTAAGCCATGAGGCGGCAGCCGCTTGGCTGCCACCCCTCTTCCAACAAACGGTCGCCAGTTATGATTACCGTTTGTTATATGCATGCATGAGCTGTGCGTCTACAAACAATTGTATCTAATAACATCCAAATACTCCTTTTTGACAATATGTGTTATGTTGTTGGAAGGCAAACCACGCCAGGCTCTTCCTTGCCTTCCGAGAGAGAATCGCCAAATGTGCCACATGCTTCTTGAAATGTATCAGAATTGCAGTTTGTATGTACCATTTTGTTGTATTAACGTACATGTGATCTCACTTTTAGAATCGTCCGTGGAATAATCCTTCGGTCACTTAGTCCAACCCCAACTAGCGATGCATTCGTCCGATTTTCTCCATTTGGGTCCGTGCGGACAAAAACCGTGGCCCAACAGAAAGACCCATTCCCATTTTTGTTGAGTCCTTCCGGACCAATTTCCGTCCCAAATTTTCTCGTCATTTGGGTTCAAAGCGGACCCAAACCGGACGTGTCCTCCGCGTCCGGATGTGTCCGCTGCTTCCAGGCCCTGGCCGGTCTGTCATCGAAACAAGGGGGACCCACCCCACCCATCTATCCTCCTTCTCTCTCTCTCCCCAACGACGCGATGGGCGTGGCGGCTCCAATGGCGACTCGTCAGCGCAAGGTAAGGCGGGGCGGAGACACGATGGCGCAGAAAGGCAAGGCTGGTTGGCGGCGTGTGCGCTCAGGGCCACTTCGTCGCCCAGCTCCATGGCACTGCCAGCGCACACGTGGCAACGAGCGGGCAGTCGGCGACAGGCGCAGCTGAAGTGAGGGAGATGAGCTCTGCGCCATTGGCACGAGCGCGGGCAGCTTGTCGGAGGCAGCATACTTGGAGAGTAGCACAAGGGCAGCGAGCCAGCGACTGCTTGAGGCCAGGATCCGGTACAGCGTGGGGTGATCTGAACGGTGGTGCGGTTGAGGAGGCCGGCGTCAACAGCGATGGTTTCAGCCGTTGGCGGCGTACTACGGTGGCGGCGGTGCTCCTTCCTTCTCGAGAAGAGAAGAGAGAGGGAGGTGAGATGAGGAAGAGAAAGAGGGAAGCAAGCAGAGCAGAAGAGAGCAGGCGGCTGCAACCTGGTGCTGTTGTGGGTCACCGGAGGAGCCAAAGGCCACCGTGCCGAGTGGCTCGGGCTGTTCTCGGGCGCGTGGAGGTGGTTTGCCGGCACGGCCGCGGTGCTCCTCTCGGAAAGTGATACCGAGGCTTCAACAAAACCGTGTCTGTTTCAATTGGGTCTTCCGCGTTTGGTACATCGGTGGTGTCCGGCTGTCCGGCCGCATCCGTTTTCCGTTTTAGCGACCCAAAATCCGTGTTTGTTTGGGTCGCTGCATTGAAGTTGGCCTTGTGCTATTCGACAATATACTCAGCGCACTCTATAACTCACATAGCATGCTATTACATGTGTCATTGTATTTGGTACACCGTGTGCAATATGTTTTTTCTGGTGACTATATATCTACTATCTAACCAAGTACAAAGTTTCTTCAAAAGGTTTAATCATGTGCATGGTGTTCCCGTGGAAATGGATGGGAATCATCTTAGTGTCTATTAACAACTCATACGATATTACTAACATTTACAAGAAAAAACATAATTGATGAGTCATGTATGCTTGTTCATCTTACCATCATATTACACAAAACTACGAAGTTAGTTTAGAAAGAAGCAGTCTAGAACAATCTTCACATTAATAGCATGATCTGTCTTAACAACGCCAAGCAAGACTACAAACTTAGTTCCCCACAAGCTATGCCAACCTGGATGTGCCTAACAACTTGTAGAACATTACGAACTTAGTTTTAGAAAGGGGATGTAATCTAGATAAGTGTTTTGCATGTAAAATGAATATGATGAGTCATTTGGATTATCAAGCTTTCCTGACACTCCATGGATGTGTGCTACCAGAAAGCAACTTTGGCGATCAATCCAAAAATTACACTTGTAAGTAGCGCCACCGAACAAAACATACCAAAGAATCAGTTTGATACGAGTAGAGGAACTTTACAAGAAAGCAAATGTGAAGACGAAAAGAAATCATTTCATGGCAGCTATAAATAGCCATACACCATGAAGACCCCCTTCCATCCTCCATCCTTCACACATTTGGAGCACAAACATTCATACTAAACAATCAAGAGTAACCAAAAATCCACCATGAAGATCTTCTTGGTCTTTGCCCTCCTCGTTGTATCAACGATCATCACCACCGCGACCGTGCAGCTCGACCCTAGCATCCATGTACAAGAAAGGCCACAACAATCATTTCCACAGCAGCAACCACTTAATCAACAACAACCATTCCCGCTGCAAGAGCCACAACAACCACTATTCCAGCAACAACAACCGTATCCACAACAGTCACTTCCCCAACAACAACTTCCCCAGCAACATTTATTTCCGTAGCAACCGCCGCAACAACAATTTCCACAGCAGATGCCACTTCCGTATCAACAACAAATATTCCCGCAACAACAACAACCCCCACAACAACAACCATTTTACCAATATCAACAACCATTAACACAACAACCATACCCGCAAGAGCAACCATTGCCACAACAACAACCTTCTGTGGAGGAAAACCAACAATTGAACTTGTGCAAGGAGTTCCTGCTGCAGCAGTGCAACCCGGAGGAGAAACTGTCATTACTGCAGTCAGTGATCCCGTTCCTCCGACCAAAGACCTCGCAACAGAACAACTGCCAGTTGAAGCGGCAACAATGTTGTCGACAACTTGCACATATCAGCGAGCCGTCCCGATGCCCGACCATCCACAACATTGTGCACGCCATCATTATGCAACAACAACAACAACAACAACAACAACAACAACATGTGGATAGAGGTTTTGTCCAGCCTCAACCACAACAGTTGGGCCAGGGAATGCCCATGCAGCCTCAACATCAATTGGGCCAGGGCTTAAGCCTACCTCAACAACTAGCCCAGTTCAAGTTGGTTAGGTTACTTGTGATTCAGACCTTGCCTATGTTATGCAATGTGCATGTCCCATCTGATTGCTACACCATTAGTGCACCATTTGGTGGCATCACTGCCTACAACAGTGGACAATGAAATCACAAGAGTTGTACTACTATATAGATGGAACTTCATTGTTTACTCGATTGGACTATCGATGTAGCAATGGAAAAATAAAATGTCGCGCACCATCATATGCGTGACTGACACCAATACAAGTTCAAATTTGGGAATAAAGGCAAACAAAATATTGCACGTCATGCCCATCTAATTCAATAGGAACTGCAATCCATCAATTCCATATCAATATTTCACAAGTATATCAACTGAGGCTCATCGTGCAATGTGAAAAAAGGAGCCTCTTGATCCGGATAATTTAGTTCAGGGATCTCGCATCCCTAATCACCCCCAGCCACAAAAGTCCATCGACGGCTGCCAGGAGGTATGATCTCAGGGTCATGTCCTGGGTCGATGAGTTGTACCAGCATGTGTCGCCGTGTGAACTTTTCCAAAAAATGTGTCCGTGTGTGGGTTCATTGTATAGGAATGGGTCCCAGAGGGCGGTGTGTGTGCGAATGGCTTTAAAGGCCAGGACCATGTGCTTCGAGAGGCATGTCAATGAATGAATGTTCTGAATCCCATCTGTGTTCTTTTGGTCCTCACCTCCTTTCTCTGATTCCTCACTCCAATTCTCTCAAAATATCCCAAATCTATCCAAATACCGAGCTCATTTGTGCGATCTCGATCAACGACCGGGTCGTGACACTCAGCGATGGAGCCGAGGGAGACGTCCGAGGGAGGAGGCGTTGCTCAGAGGGTGGCATGAGGCTCACACTGGCTCGATCGCGGATTTGTGGTGGAGGGCGTGGTCATGGCCACGGCGTCATCATGTGCGTCCATGTATGGGCACGAGGCTGAGCCGTTCCTCCTTAGTACTGGCTGTTGCGCTAGCCTGGGCACCTCCTCGTTCCCAACCCATCATCACCCATGCAGCCATCGGCATGGCCGCCCGTAATTGCAGTGGTGAGCGGCGCCGGGAGTAGGGGTCATGTCGTAGGGCGTCTTGTTGGGACCTACCCGGACGAACCTCTCTCTCTCTCTCTCGGACGGAGATGGAAGATGAAGAGGACACTGAATTTTTCTCCGGCGACCAACGCCATGCCGCACAAACGGGCCCAATCGGCTTACTGCTGGCCGATAGGCGCCATTTTTCTTTTTCTGTTTTTGCTTTTAGTTGTTGTTTTCTATTTATTCTAGCTATCAAATGAATTTGGTTTGTGTTGAAACTTTTTACATAAATTACAAGCAATATTAACAAGCCACATGTAAATTTTCATAATTTTTAGAACATCATATATTTACAATTGTATTTGATAGCTTCTGGTGAATATAGATAGGGTTTAAATTTATTTATCCTAATTGATTTTTTTTATAAAGTTAAAATATTGAGGAGAATGGTTTACACATTTTTGTGAAACAATTTGAGAAAACTTTTTTGGCTTTTGCATTTGAACTTTGAGAAGCTTTTGCATTTGAACTTTGAGTCTCAAAGTTCAAATGCAAAAGCCAAAAAAGTTTTCTCAAATTGTTTCACAAAAATGTGTAAACCATTCTCCTCAATATTTTAACTTTATAAAAAAAATCAATTAGGATAAATAAATTTAAACCCTATCTATATTCACCAGGAGCTATCAAATAAAATTGTAAATATGTAATGTTCCAAAAATTAGGAAAATTTATATGTGACTTGTTAATATTGCTAGTAATTTATGCAAAAAGTTTCAACACAAACCAAATTCATTTGATAGCTAGAATAAATTGAATACAACAACTAAAACCAAAAACAATAAAAAAAATGGGCACATGGACCTATCGGCCAGCAGTAAGCCGACTGGGACTCTGGCTGACTAGATCTTGTCGGTCCCAAATCGGCCATCTGGTAGCCGACAGGGCTCTTATCGGCTTCCTCCTGGCCAATTGGACCCAGTTGGCTACCAGATGGCCGACTATGTATTATTTAAAAAAATAATTTTAGAGTAATATTTCTTAAAATTAATTAAAAATGTATTATTTTTTTAAAAATAGCGCTTTCTTAGAGCTCAAACTCTGGCACACATACATGGAGACCGCCATATGGTGAGCACACATACGCTCCCAGGGGCGACATCTCTCTCCCTGGCTCCTATACCCTATACACAACAATACATGAGTTATATAGCCGGACTCGCACCAGGCGTTAGAGCATCTTCAGCCGTTCGGCCCCCCAGGACGTCGAAAAAACGTCGTCTAGGGCCGAACCGACGTATCTTTTAGGTGTGGGGGGGGATTGTGTTTCCAGTCGCCGCCCCCAAGTCGCCCCCCAAATCGGGGCAAACAGGGCGCAAAGTCAGCGATTTGATACAAATTTACACAAACACAGCATAAACTCGGCGATTTTCATTCAGATTTGTACAAAAAAAACAGAGAACAACTACACCTAGCCTAGCCTAGCCTACTACACCGCTGCTGCCATCTACATCCCGAGAAGTCTATAGAAACGGGTGTAGTCGTCATCATCGTCGTCGTCATCATCATCGTCGTCGCGCGCCCCACTGGACGGCCCTGCTGCACCCCTGGCCAGGGTCGCCGACGCGCGGTGGGGCGCTGGACGGCCCGGCCTCGTCCTCCTCGTCGCTGTCGAGGACGATGACGCCGCCCTCCTCGCGCTCACGGCGCCGGGCCTGGAGCTCCTTGTATGCTCGGCGCTGGCGGCAGACCAGCTCGCGGAGGTAGTCCTCCTTTGCCTATTTTAGAGCGGCCTCGTCGTTGCGGGCTCCCACGCCGACGTGCTCCGGCTGCAGGCCCGGTGTCGATGTCAAAACCGGCGGATCTCGGGTAGGGGGTCCCAAACTGTGCGTCTAAGGTGGATGGTAACAGGAGGCAGGGGACACGATGTTTTACCCAGGTTCGGGCCCTCTTGATGGAGGTAAAATCTATGTCCTTCTTGATTTATTCTTGATGATATGAGTATTACAAGAGTTGATCTACCACGAGATCGAAGAGGCTAAACCCTAGAAGCTAGCCTATGGTATGATTGTATGTTGTCCTACGGACTAAAACCCTCCGATTTATATAGACACTGGAGGGGGCTAGGGTTACACAAAGTCGGTTACAAGGGAGAAGATATACATATCCGTATTGCCTAAGCTTGCCTTCCACGCCAAGTAGAGTCCCATCCGGACACGAGACGAAGTCTTCAATCTTGTATCTTCATAGTCCAACAGTCTGGCCAAAGGATATAATCCGGCTGTCCGGAGACCCCCTAATCCAAGACTCCCTCAGTAGCCCCCGAACCAGACTTCAATGACGATGAGTCTGGCGCGCAGTGTTGTCTTCGGCATTGCAAGGCGGGTTCTTATCCAATTTTCAAGTGTTCGTAAGCAGTGTCTGGCTCCATAAATGTTGAACCTCTTGGCTTCTGTGCCCAACAAGGGCTTTCTCCCACGCGTCGAATGAATACGAGGCACCAGGGCGTTTTTTCATTCGCCCCCCTAGCCAGATAAATAAATTGTCTATTAAAGGGATGGGGATTCATAGATCCGATCCATACCATCCTCCCCCAGCAAGAATCCATCAGAGCGCGTTTCGGAAAGATCCATTCCAGCATGGCCGACCTCCGCAGCTCCTCCTCCCGCCCCCGTAGCCCTAAGCCCGGTGATTGGGAGAGGTGTTCAGTCCCACACAGTCGATTAGTCGAACTGCAGACTAAGGGATTTCTCCCTCCGGTGTATATGGTGCCCGTTTGAGCTGGGCTTGCCACCTACAATGGCGGGGAGCAAGCGGAGAGCTTTTTCTGTCTCTCCATGGGGGAACGGGTTTGCCTTGTTCCTTATTTACTAAGGGGACTCGGATTTCCAATTCATCCGTTTCTCCGCGGGCTCCTGGAGTTCTACGGACTCCAATTACACAATCTCACCCCTGCCTCCATTCTACATGTCGTCAGCTATGTTGCTCTCTGCGAGTTGTTCTTGGGCTGCGAGGCTCACTTCGAGCTGTGGAAAAGGCTATTTTGCCTCGTCCCTCGCATACAGAGGAGATCACTTTATCAAGTGGGCGGAGCCGAAATATGGCGCATCACCGATACCGGATACCTGTCCAATACCCCGAAGAAGTCTCCGAAGACTGGCCTTTAGAATGGTTTTATATGGAGGACGTTCCCGTTCCGGACCCTATTCGGCGGGATCTTCCTGAGTTCAACAATGCTCCTCTGAAGAAGCGCCGAAGTTGGCGCCCACGGAGCCCCCAGGCGGAAGACAACGGAGAAGTCCTCTATCTGATGAACCGAATCAAAGCACTGGCTCAATTAGGATTGACAATAATCAAAGTTATGTCGATTTCCATAATGCGGGGAGTGCAGCCCCTTCAATATCATGGGCACCCCTTGTGGTGTTATAACGGGGCGGATGACACCACCCGCTGCGGGAGTAAGGGTCCGGACAATGCTGCCACTCTAGTGAAAATTCTGTCCGAACTGTTCAAGGGTGAGGAAGAGGAGTTCACCCGCATCAAGCCACGAGATGGATTCTCCATGTACAATCCTCCAAGCTAGGTAAGTTATATCTCCCTGCTCCCATTTTTCCCGCATTCTTTGTCGTAAGTATTCACCTTGCCACTTTGCGGCACGAACTGCGGAAAGCTATAAAGGAGGTCAGCAGCCCTTCTCCATAACCAGAGGACCCTGACCGGGCCCTCGACTCCGGACTTGAAGAAGATTCGGTTATATTCGTGGAGTTGATAGACCGACAGTTCTATCAGTTAAGCTGCGACGATGCCATGGTGGCCATTACGGCCGACTATCCCGGACTGCTCCCTGCGTCACAAGTAAGAAAAACCAAAAATCCCAACTCCAAAACTAGGATCCCCGTTTAGACATTTCACCCACCATATACACATGGCATTTTACAGGGAAGGCATTCGGGACGCCCTGCCGAACCCACGTCAACGCGCCAACAGGAGACACTGAGGCCGGGTAGGCCAAAAAGGAAGGCGGTCAGGACGGAGACGCCGACGCAAAGGTATAACAAACCCCGCTCCGTGATTGTCGTCTTTCTCGAAAT